GTCCACACTCCCTCAAAACCACGTGTCCCCAGGGCCCTGAAATCTTAACAACCACCTCTCCTAGGAATAGGAGGAATAGGAATAAACGCACAGTTTATTCTGGAGCCGGTTATTCTTCCAGGGAAATAAACCTAAGCTACATTTATTTCTTCACCGATTTTTATTTCACTGGACTGGTAAGAGGCTGAGGCTGTAAGTTCAATTAGCACATAAAACCTTGTCAGAAGCGTTTTCGCTGACTTAAAACACTACAAGCCCCAGAGGAGCAACCAAAAATCACTTGTGACAGCATGGATGTGCCCTCAGTGGCTCAGAGTGACATGCAACCCTTGAATTCAAGGCACTGAAGGCCAAGATCGGCCCTTTCAGTACTGGAAATCTCCACTTTGTCTCCAAAAGCACTTCACACGTTCCCAGTCACTGTAAATGGCCTGGGCAACAAACATACCTGCGCTCTGCTGAGATTTGACCAGGCGTGTTGCCCTCTCAATGCACACAATGAGGCACCCAGTCACCTTAGGATCCAGAGTGCCACTGTGTCCGGTCTTCTCCACTCGGAGGATGCGGCGGATCCACGCAACCACCTCATGAGAGGATGGATTGGAAGGTTTGTCGAGGTTAATAAAGCCAGACCTGTAGTGCAAGATGGCAGAGAGCAGGGGCTAAGCACCAGGGTAAGCACAGCAAGAGTGCACACACTGAGCTGCTCCGTGCACAACAGGTTGATATATTCCATGGTCAAGGAGTTCTCTTCTCCCCTGACTGCTCTGTACTTAAAAGACACCAAACTCCAAGCAGTCTCAAAGCCTAGCAGGCCAAAGGACTTTTCCAAAGACCCAGAGAGTTCCTCAGGCGTTTGCATGTTCATCCATAGACCAGCCACAGCCCCAGAAAAAAAGCAAACTTCACATTAGATGTTCACTGATTACTGGCAAGGCCCTGAGTCAAGCAGAAAGGTACAAGGGAAACCCAGACAGAAAACGTTTTGAAGGTATTAACTGTGAAAGAAAAATAAACCACTCTGGCCCTTATTGCACTCACCTAACATAATCAGAAATCTCTCTCTTCAGAGGATTAGCACCAGAAGGAAGAGGTGTGTAGTGTGCTGTCCTCACATTTAACTTGTCAAAGCTCTACAAAATCCAAGCAGAAATTACAAATCTTCTTGAGCTCACCCTGGTTTCAGCATTGCTTTCCTACATCTCCGCCAGGCACACAAGATCTGATTTGTAAATGTCAGGGCCACTTCCAAAATCAAACACACCCAACAATGAAACCACAATGTTTCACAGAAGAAGAAACAAACGAATCTTGCGCGGAAATAGATGGGAAAGCAGCAGAACACACATCTTTACAGCAGAGGATAAATCCAGTATGCCCCAGAAACTCAGCACAAGCAACTTGGGAGTCTATACACATCACAAGCTATGGCCAGACCCAAATAAAAAGCTCAAGAAATCTGGCACGGTACACTTGTAAAACAGGCATGAAAATGATACTGCTGGTCAGACTCGATAACACGATTTCTGCATGCAGCGGGGTTACACAAAGCAGCAGTGCACTTCCACGGGCAGAGGACAAAAGGAGCGGGAGCAGGGACGGACCACGAGGCCGAGCAGAACCCGCCGTACCTTTAGCAGCAAGGGCCACTGCGACGTGTCCAGCTGGGGCACTCGGGACTCGGGCTTGATGAGAAAGTCCTCCGTGTGCTGGATGTCCTGCGGGGGGGCGGAGTTCACCGGGATCAGAGCGGGAAAAGCCGGCGGGCCGCGCTCCCGCCGCCTCCACGCGCCCGCTCCACGTGGCCCGGGAGGCTCCGCTGCCGCATCCACGTGGGGCGGCCGCGCTCCCTGCGGGAACGGCGCGGGAGAAACCCAGCCCAGCCCAGCCTTACTCACCCTCCCCATCAACCATCCCACCGCGTCCCCACGGATGGGTCTGGGGGAGCCCCCCTCGGCACCCCAAACCCGGCCCGGGCAGACCCCCGCCCCCGCCGCTCACCGCAACATCCTCATCGGCGAGCGCCCGCTTCTCCTTCTTCCTCTTCTTCTTCACGCTGGAACCTGCGGGAGCGACACGCCGGCAGTGAGCGCGGGGAGCGGGGCAGGCCCGGGAGGGGAAAGGGGGAACGGCGAGGGGAGGGGGCAAAATCGCCCGCAGACCCTTCCCCCCCGTGTCCGCCCGGAGCCCCCCGCCGGTCCCCACCGCTGCGCACCGTCCCCATCCGCCATGGCCGCGTGGTGTCCCCGCCGCACGCACCGGAACGGCCGCCCCGTCCCGACGGGCCCCGCGACGGCCCCGCGTCACCGGCCCCGCGTCACCGGCTCCTCGTCATCGGCCCCGCCCGCCGCGGCCCTTCCACCGCCCCGCCCGGCAGGAGCATCCCCGCCCGGCGCCCCCGCTGCTCCCATTCACCACTGCTACTCAACTAGATACAATTCTAGTAACAGTTTCGTCTGTCTTAATTTAAAAAGGACAGAGTCATAGAATCAACCGTGTTGGAAAAGACCTCCGAGATCGTCAAGTCCAACCCTTGATCCAACACAGCCCTGGCTACCAGATGATGGCACTAAGTGTCACATCCAGTCTCATCTTAAAAACCTCCAGGGATGGTGAGTCCACCACCTCCCTGGGCAGCGCATTCCAGTGTCTGATCACACTCTCTGTAAAATTTTTTTTCCTAATATTCAACCTAAACCTCCCCTGGCAGCGCTTAAGACCGTGCCCTCTTGTTTTACTGACAGCTGCCTAGGAGAAGAGACCAACCCCTACCTGGCTACAACCTCCTTACATGGAGTTGTAGAGAGTGATGAGGTCTCCTCTGAGCCTCCTCTTCTCCAGGCTGAACACCAGCTCCCACAGCCTCTCCTCATAGGACTCACACGACTTGTGCTCATCCTATGTACTTTTGCCACACAGATTTTTACTTTGTTTCCCCAGCAGACAGAGATAGCAGCAGAAAAGAAATAAGCTAGCAGTCCATTCATTCTTTTCGCCCTCCACCACTACTTTAATTCTCAAATTCCCTCAGCTGTAGTGGAGTTGCCACTGTGCAGGCTCAGTTCTTTGGGTTACCAGCTGTTACACAGAGACTGACCCCAGGCCACCACTTGCTAGTCAGCGACAAACTCCCTTCACCCACCACAAAATGCACAGCCTCATGTTGGCTGCAGTGTCTCTCATTTTCAGGAGGGGAAAAAAATTAAAATCTCTTTTTTTTTGTTTTTTGTTGGGGTTTTGTTTGTTTGTGTTTTGTGTGGGCTCTTTAATTTTCTTTAAAAAAACAACTCCAGCAACATTTGATCCCCAGATGCCCAAATCCTCCAACACACACAAACTGCAGCCAGTCCTTTAATGCACAGCCTTGTTCTGCCCCAAACCGGCCCTTCCGCTTCGGGATTACACTTTTTCCAAGCAGGACAACATCCAGTACATACAGTGAGCAGTTTACTATGACACAAGGTGAACACATCTGCTCATCAACCATGGCTTGAGTGCATTACAGAGTCGGTATTAAAAATAAATAGCGGGACAGTCTGTGTTGAAACTACCAGTCCGAGCAGTCCCTGCAAGTGCTCAGAGCCCCTGCCCGGCGGGGCTCAGCATCTCCTGCAGCACCAGGTGCAGCAGGTGGTTCTGCTCCGCGCTCAGCAGCGGCCACAGCTCTGCCTGCAGTGCCTTCAGTGCCTCCACGTCCTTCTCCTGGCATGCCAGCACGGCCGACTGCAGCAGCAGGAACAGTTCTGCCGGCAGGTAGCTGGCGGCCGGCGGTAGCCCGCCCGCCCCGGGGCCGCCCGCGCTGCCGGTGGTGCTCGCCCCGCCGTCGGGCGCCTCCCAGCAGTACTGCTCCAGCGTGCGGGCGTGCTCGGGCAGCAGCTTGGCCGGCGGCGGCTGCAGCAGCAGCAACAGCAGCACCCGCGACACCTCGCAGCGCGCCAGCACGTCCAGGAAGGCACCTCCAGGAGCCGCCCCGGCTCCCGCCCCGCCGAGCCCGGCCCCGGCCAGCGCCTGCGCCCGCGTCAGCGCCGCCAGCGCCCCGGCGTAGTCGCGGGCGAGCAGAAGGCAGGACGCGCGCTCGGCCAGGCAGCGCAGGGCCTGCAGCGGCAGCCGGGCGGCCCCCAGCAGCTCCGCCGCCCGCTGCAGGGGCGCGGCGGCGCGGGCGGGCTGGCCCGTGTCGCGGAGCGCGGCCGCCAGCTCCAGGCACGGCCCGGCCGCCAGCGCGGGCTGCCCGCGCTCCAGGTGCAGGCGGGCGGCGAAGGCCCCGCAGCTCTGCGCCGCCGACACGTGCTCGCCGAAGCCGCCGCGCAGCCCCAGGCGCTGCCGCAGGTCCCGCTCCTGCCGCAGGAAGAGCCGCGCGGCCTCGGCCAGCGCGGCCGCCTCGGCGGGGCCGTGGAACAGGCTCTGCGCGCAGCGCGCCACGGCCAGCTGGCACCAGGCGGCGTAAGGCAGGCTCTCCTGGGCGCGCAGCTCCCGCGCCAGCGCCGCGAACTGCTCCGCCGCCTCCGCCACGTTGGGCTTGCGCAGGAACCGCCGCCGCAGCTTGGCCGACACCAGCCGGTACCGAGATAGGAAGTCGCCGTCGCTGCCGAGCCCCGGCCCGGAGCCGCCCGGCCCGGCGGGGCCGGAGCCGCCGCCCGCCGCCAGCATCGCCCGCTCCGCCGCGGAACTGACGCGCCGCCCCGCCCCGCGCCGCCGCCCAATCAGCGCCCGCGCCGCTGTCGCGTACCGAAGGGCGGGGCCTGGAGGAGGCGGGGAGGGGGCGTGGCCACTGCAGACTGCGCTGAACATTGTTGTCCCCGCCCTTAATAGGCGTGGTTAAGACGGGCCACGCCTATTAAAGGCGTGGTTCTGGCTGGCGGGCCCCGCCCCGGGTGCGCAGCGGGGCTGAGCGGCGATTGCGCCCCCTGGCGGCCGGGCGGACCCGCCCTCCTGCCCCGCCGCGGCCGCCGCGGGATCGGGAGCCGGACGGGGATGGGGATTGGGACCAGGTTCGGGATGGGGACCGGGATGGCGACGGGCTCTGAAGCCCCCAGATGAGGCCGCAGCAGCCAGGTTCAAACAAGAAAGGCTGACCCAAATGGTACCAGGTGGGTGGGTGAGCCTCCTGGCCGAAGGATGTGTGGGTGCAGGAATTTTAGGTGACTTCAAAGGGATAAGAGAACTCTTGGGGTCCCTAAATAGATAAGCCACACCTGACTCGGGAAACCCCCAGCAGCGCTGAAAATATTTGGTGCCCGAGAGGGTTAAGCGGGCATGTGAGATCACGTGTGCTTGCCCGCTTCCTGCATTTCCACGACCCTCCGCAGGAGGCACGGCCTGAGAGAGGGGCTGTTCCCGCTGTCCTGACGTCCCTACACGTGTGAGCACACGTACCCACCTGCACCCACTTCGCCAGCTGAGGTGACACGTTCTGCCAGACATCCCTCCCGCTGCCTCCCCAGCCCCGAGCATCCCACCGGACAGGCTCGGTGGCGGGGGGCACTCCGCTTTCAGCGTGTCCCGAGAGAGCTCAGCACAGCCACGTGGTTGCTGTGACACGGGCACTGTCCCACCCGTGTCCCACCAGCACACGGGTGAGGCCCCTCGCCCCCCCACCATGGCTCTGTGCTGCCTGTTGAGACCCTCGCGCTGGCACCTCCGCCCCCCGCCGCTCGCCCTGCTCGGCCCGGACCGCAGCCTGGGGACAACGACAAAGGGGAAAGGGAAGAAAAAGGCCAGGGAGGGCTGCAGCCTGCCAGATCCGTCCTGGGAGGAGAGGTACGGCTTTCCCAAAATGACCGAACGCTCTTCCGAAGCGGCAAGTGAGAGCGGTGGGTTTGGGGTTTTACCCTCGTGCAGCTCTTCCCAGTAAAAATAGAAGGGCCAGGACTCAGCTGTTTTTTCCCGCGAGTTTGGCCTGGGGATAGGAATAATGGAAAAGACAAATGGAAAGGTTAAGAGGAAAGGAGCAGACGGGTTGCCACAGTGGCAAGCAAAAAGTGATAGTCCGTTTGATTTGCAGTTCTCTGTCTGAAAGTAGTTGGCACTGGGTGCTTTTGGAAGCAGCTCCAAAAATCCCAGTAACCAATACCAGCAACTTATCCAGCTGTGGGGTGACGTTCTCCATGAGCTCAGTGAGTCAGCAGTTGATGGATAGTTATGATTGAACCATGTCCACCTCACCCCTTACTCTGCCTTTTTTTTAAATCGGCTGTTACGTGTTTTGTTCTTACTTGTTCTGCCTCAGATCAAAGTAGTGGCAAGTTCTGAGGTTTTTCTCTAAACGACTGCTGTGTGGGTCAGCGAGGGGTGGGCAGCTTGAAATTCCCTGCCTGCTCCACACAAACTGTGCATTTCTCTCTGGTTCACTGGGAGTTTGGGTGTTCACAGCCAGCTCTGTCACCAGAAAGTCCTGCCCATGAAGTAGCTGTCAGGGATGTTATGCCATGGGTATCAGGGGGGAGTATCTCTGGGCACTGCCATGATGTTGTGCTTTCCAGGTTAGCAAATGCAGTGACTCCACTGTGGAGACTTCCCTACCAAGAGCAGCTGCAGGTAAGACGTGCTTACACATATTTTTCTTTGCTGTGTTGCCCCAACTGCCTCTCCAATCTCCTTAAGCAACAGCCCTCATCATCTTAATGCTGTAAACTCTTCAGACCCCATTTACTGCTGCTTTAATCCTTCAGTTATGGTGAAGGATAGAACTGGGAGGTTCCTTATAGTACAGAGAATGGGCACTTGCACAGTGATCCTGTCCTCTGTGGGACAGCTGGTTCACTGGGGCTTCAGGCTGGACCAAGTGCTCCAAGGCCAGCTCTTGGGGACCATGGAGATGGGATTTTTCCCTCTTCCTGTTGCCCCAAGCAGCTTTGGTGATGAAAAGGGCAGAGTTCCTCTGGGACTATATTTTCACTTGCAGTATTTCCTCCTGTTGGACTTCCCAGGGGTGGGTGATGAAGAGCTGCCCACCATCATGTGGTCCTGTGAGAGTGTTTCTGGCTTAGAACTCCTCTGCAGGTGAAGTATGAAAGCCAGAGGAAGATTTTGCAGACACTGGCATCTCGTCTTGAGGAGCTGGGCATAGATGCACAGAAACCTGGTGGGCTCTGCTGTCCTCTCCAGCCTGTAGTCCCTTCTGTGAGTATCCTGTGGGAATGCTCTCCCCTCTGAGCCACTCACAGCCTCTCACTCAACAACTGAAGAGTCTCATGGTGGGCATTATTTGCTTGCAGAGAGTGTGCCTGTGGCAGTCCTCTCTAGCTTCTGCTTTGCAGCCTGATTGCCTGAGAGTGAAATAAGCCCAGTGCTTAGGAACCCTTTTTTTTGTGTCCAAGGCTTCCCTGATAAACCTGTCACCTTTCTGTCACAGAGAGCCATTTCTTCCTCTCCAGGGGAAGTACTGGGGTTCTCATGCACAAGCTCCATTTCTGTGTTTTGCACATTCACATGTATCTTCCCATGTTGCCAACAGAACAACCAGACAGGGTTTTGTCTTTCCTCCATTACTTTTAATCCAAGGCTTTATTTTTCCTTCTTTTCTCCCTCAGCCCATCATTAATGGCTACCGAAACAAATCTACTTTCTCTGTGAACCGAGGACCAGATGGGAACCCCAAAACTGTGGGGTTGTATGTAGGAACTGGCAAAGGTCAGTGCAGGACAAGAAACTCAGTAGAAAACTGCTGGCATGAGCTGGGCTGGGGCAAGGCTCTGCTTGAAAGCCTCCTCTCAAGTTAGAAGCCTGAATCCTGGGGGATGCCAATCACCAAAGCAGGGCAGCAATTTTAACACCTCAGTTCATTCGCTTCTTAAGAAATACCAGCTCCTAATTTGCAAAATACAACAGGAAGGACGATGGATGGGGTATCAGCCCCTTCAGGATTTAGCTTTGTTATTCTTAATTATGCTGTTCCCACGTTTTTGGCATGTTCCAGGAGCCTGTGCTGAGCAGGAAGAACATGGAGGGGTGTGCACTTCCATAGGCAGCAGAGCAGTGTTGAAGCATTTGGAGTGCATGAGGCAGTTTGGTGTTGTGCAGTGAAGATGTGAGCAGGGGAAAGGCCTCTCCAAAGTTTATCATGTTCAGATCGTACAGTGGTTTACTGTGCTCTGAAACAGAACAAATTAAATACCTGTCCATCTCTCTCCAGCAAGAAATATTGTCTGTGTGAAAGCCAACCACATGAAGAACATGCCCTCAACACACATACAAGTAGCCCAGGTAAATAAATAAGTCATGTCTGTCCCTAGACTGAAATAGAGGGACTGCAATAACTCTTGTTTGGGAGAACGTTGTAATTTTAGTTACTCCGTGTTTTCAAGTTCATTTTCATGGTCTGAAAAGTTTCATGCCTGACTCTGGTTGATGGAAAAGTACTTTTTTAAAACTTGCATCTTAATGTTGGAGCCTCTAAACTGTTCCAAAGAATGAAACTAATCAAATGAGAACGAATTCCTGCCAATCTATTAAAACACATAAGAACTGCAAATTGAAATTGTTAAAATGTTTTGTCTTTCAAGAGCCTGGAAAGAGCTTTCACCCAGTCTATTGAAAACAGAGAAACCAGATCATGCTGGTGGAAGGGCTGCCTGTCTTGGGGGTTAAGACCAGGGCAGTTGTCTTCGTGGTACTACAAATGCCATTTCCCCTCCCCTCAGTGCTATGAAGAGTTCATCTCTCGTTCCCCCCTGGACTCCTGCATCCTTTTCCATGAAGGTGGACACTGGCGGGAGCTCGTGGTTCGTACCACCAGCCGTGGCCACACCATGGCCATCATCACTTTCCACCCCCAGGAGCTGGGCCAGGTGAGGATGTGCAGGACAGAGCCCATGGCAAGAGGCACATCAGATACCCGGCTCACCTGAGCCTTCTGGGTGTATCCCTGGGAAAAGGTGTCTAATCAGGTTACCCAAACAGCAGGTTTTCCTTTCTTGCTCTTAACAGGAGGCACTGGCTACTCAGAAAGCACTGCTCAAGGAGTTCTTCACGTGTGGACCTGGAGCAGTCTGTGCCTTGACTTCACTTTATTTCCAAGAGAGGTATATGTCTTGGCACAGGGAATGAGTGGAAACAAAGCCACCTCCTTTTTATCCCCCTTCTCTGATCAAATTCAAATTCTATCAGTTCAAGGAGTGCTTGAAGAGAATGACAAATGTTTGGATCCCACATAAAGATATGGCTTTAAAATGGCCCCATCTTTTTTTTTCCAAGCCTGTAATACTTGAACACACTGTGGCTCTACCTCATGGGAGTTATGAGACTGGCAAACTAAAGTAAAAGCCTACAGTGACTTTTCCAAGACAGTAAATCATACTAGAAGCAAAACTGGGGAATAGACCCGAGGATTGCTGCCTTCTGCTAGGTCATTTTGATCCTTTTAATGAAATCTAGGCTGTGCAAGTCACAGATCCCTTACAAAGAATCAAAATTCTTGATCTTGTTGAGAGGCTCCCACAAAATAGAGGTTGCCTGGGGAGAAAACCATCCTCCCCTGCCCACGAGCACCCTGGGAATGTCAACCAGCTCTCTGCTGCTTTCTAAGAGCTGTTTTTTGTGTGGTCTACCAGCACCATGACACGCTGCTCCCACGAGCAGTCTCCCTACCAGCTGCTCCACGGGGAACCTCACATCTTTGAAGAACTGCTCGGCCTGAAGTTTCGCATCTCTCCAGATGCCTTTTTCCAAGTGAACACGGCTGGAGCAGAAGTTCTGTACCAGGCAGTTGGGAAGCTCTGTCAGACTACTGGGGACACTGTCCTCCTCGACATCTGCTGTGGAACAGGTGAGTAGTGGCCGTGTGAGCCCAGCTCCCAGGGCTGGTGCTTTGCTGGTGCCAGAACTGATCCTTGCTATGTAAAGGCCTGTTTCTTCAGCATGAATGTACAGAGTATTTTTTGTCCCGTGATTCCAGGCACAATTGGTCTCTCTCTGGCTCGCCAGGTGTCCAAGGTCATCGGTGTCGAGGTGGTGGAGAAGGCAATAGAGGATGCTAAGTGGAATGCAGTGTTCAATGGTGAGTTCAAACTCGCCGTGGCAGAAAGTTTCAAACTAACTGCTGAAAAATCAGAAGTAGTAAGCGAGCGGGGGGACCCTAACACAGCAAAGGGTAGTTCATGTTATACCTAACACTTGGTGGGACTCTGTTCTTTTTGCTTCCCAGGGATCTCAAACTGTGAGTTTCACAGTGGGAAGGCAGAGGCCGTGTTACCACAACTCCTGGCGTCGTGGGAGGATGCCCGGCCGCTTGTTGCTGTGGTGAACCCATCTCGGGCTGGGCTACGTGAGAGAATATGCTATTTATTTTTTTATTTTCATCTTAATTTAGTAACGATTTCTCTCTCATCCTTCATCCCTCTGGGAAGCAGAGGGATTTCTCCCGCTGCTCTACCCTGCTTAATGTGCTGAGCTATCAGCATCACGGGTCTGAGACAGAACATGGCAAAATATGTGTCTCTTTTTCCCCTATATTTTCAACAGTTCAGGGCAGTTCTGTGAGGCTCTGTGTGCAGTCATTCCTCCTGGGTCACTGGGAAAGCAGGGTGTGTTTTTGCAGATTACAGGGTCGTGCGGGCCATCCGGAATTGCAGGACGATCCGCAGGCTGCTCTACATCTCCTGCAAGCCAGAGGGTGAAGCCATGAGGAACTTCCTTGAGTGAGCACTCTCCTCCCCTCCACTGACCTTAGTGACAGACTCTATTATGTCCAGACAAGGCTTGGGAAGGTTTTTGTAGTGGTTAAATTTTGCTGGGTGAGTTCTGCAGGTGAGATGCAGGACTAAGTGCATGGGCAGGAGGGGTTTATGCCTCCGTGTTGCTTTGGGTTTCCCTGCAAGCTGCACTTGCTGATTTAAGGTAGGGGGGTATTCTTTGGGTTTTACATACAGCAGGATGCATTATTGCATCAGTGAGGAGTAGAAAACAATGCAAACGTTATAATGGCATTGTGCAACCTTCCCCAACAAAAGAACACATCTGGATGTGAGATACAGAATCCACGGGCATCACTGCAGGAAGGTTGAGCCCTAGCCAACAAAGTGAAGCCAAGGGGATTAGTCACCTGCTTAGGGTTAATCATGGGGCTTTATCTGGGGTAGGCCTGTTTGCAGGTGATAAATCTGTCTGCAGGTGGCCACGAAGGTAGTGCAAAACTGAAAATTGCTTCCTAAGGGTATTAAGTGTCTTTCAGCTGGGATGGCTTGTGAGAAAGGGAGCTTTAAACTTGCCACTGGCTGTTCAGCTTGTCCCTGAGGTTTTCAGAGCTGGTTTGGGATTCAGTATTGGTGGTCCCACACCTCAGCCAGTGCCAGCTGCAGACTCTGAGGGACATTAGCCAAACAAACAATACCCCCTCGGTGGATCTTTTGTGCTATTGTGCTGCCAATAATGGTGGGAATGGGTTCTGTTACTGGTCTGAAGGTTGCTCTTTGCTTTCCACAGGCTGTGCTGCCCACCTGACTCACGGAAGAAGCTGACAGGAGAGCCGTTTGCCCCCGTGTTGGCAATTCCTTTTGACCTGTTTCCTCATACTGTTCATTGTGAGCTGGTGCTGCTGTTCACCCGCTGACAGGGAGGCAAGTATGCCAGCTGTGAGAGCTTGGGAAGCAACCTCCTACTGTGCTGGAGACTTGAGTCAATGGAGTTAGGATTTTAACTTATTTTCTGGATAGGTTGTATAAAAATAAATAATTTTGCTTTTTCTCTTACTTTGGGTTGCCTAGCAACACTGTTCTTTAAGGAACCACTTGGATTTCTGAGGTGAAAAGGTTCTCTCTAGCATTTCATCACCCTTCCTTCCCCTGCAAACCTGTTCTTGGGCTGCTGGTTAAAGCAGCCTGAAAAATACACTCTCCCTGTGTTGAGGAGTGTGCCCAACTTGGTGTTCCAGCTGCAAATTGTGCCCTGGGTGGTGGAAAATTGCTGGAGCCCCAGGCAAGGAACACAAAGACCATAGGGTGGGTGGCTCCTCACCCAGACACTCTGCAGAACTCAATGAACAATGAGAAGACCCCAGACCCTAATTTTCCATTGGTCAGAACTGTTGTGCAAGGGCCAGGAGATTTAGGGTGTAGGGGTATGAAAGCCCAGGGATTCCTTTGTTGGGGCCCTTCCTGGAGGCACCAGCTCCAGCTGTTGTTATGTTGCTGTGCCACAGTTAAAATACTTAAAGGATCCAGGTGTCTGGAAGCTCTGCTATGGGAAACTGGGGTTGATCCAGTGAAGGAAACTTGTCTGACTTTGTCAGTGGAGTGTGTAGGGAGTTAAGGCATCTGTGGGTTCACTGGAACCACTGATGCAAAGGGACTTTGGTCCCAGCAGTGACATTCTGGGCTGATGTGAGTGTGACCCCAGCAGTGGCGTCTGAAGGGTCAGACAGGAAAGGTTCCATAACACCTGGTATTGTGGGTTTCCACCATCAACATATGAATACATGCAGTAAAATCCACTGCATTTTCTAATACTGCCATACCATTAGTTCTATGCCTGCTTCAAGGATATTCCAGGGCTTTTTCAAGTTGATATTGAACTGGCTATGAAGAAACCGTAGGAACTAGAAATCCTCATGCTTCAATGGGAATATGTTGATTTCTGGGGGTCAGGGAAATATTCCTGTATAAGCTTCCAAACCCAATATTGAATCACTGTCAGTCACGTGGATAAGTTGGAGGCAATGAGATTTTTCTGTAAAATAAAATGAAAAGAGAACAGATTTCAATGTCTCTCCTTTCACAACTGCCTCCTCTTCTCCACTAACACGTACCTAAATATGAAGTGCCCTATGAAAATGTCAGCAGCAACATTTTTCCTCCTCAGGATGTTCTGCAATAGCTAATTAAAAGGATTTCTTGTGTTTTGTACCTGTCCTGTCCTGCTCACTGTGAAGCACAGTGTTATGTGAAGTTCTCTCCAGCTCTTCCAGAGATGTAGCTGCTGTAATGGGGAGGGAGGTGTGAGTGAGCAGTTCCCTTGCATTTTGTAAATTCCATGAAGTTTTGAATCAAGCCTGATAAACTCCTAAGGAAACAGGGAGAGCTGCCTGTATTTTTCAGACTTTAATTCCAGTCCTAATGAAACCTGAGCTTGGAATACTAACAACCAGCAGTTCTCAAGCCACAGGGGCTTAAAATAGATGCATTTAGGACTTGAGACTTATTACACCATTGTCCCATGAGTGTAAGATTCTTGCACACTGTTACAGCCTCTTGCTTTCGTTTTATACCAAAGGATGCAGTATTCCAGCAGTTCTGTTTTGTGTAATTATACCTTGGTTTCTTGCTGCAAGATCTGAATAGATTTCTGCCTAGCCTGGCTATGGTTTGATCAAAAGGAAATTTGTTGCAAATTGCAGGAGAGAGAGAATGACTTTAAATCAGAAAGTAACAGAGGATCAGAAAACCTTTACACTTGCCTCTGGAGAGCTGAACATATACAGGGCAGGTTTTATCTGCAGTGGAGGTGGGTGACACAAGTGGCCTCACCTTCCCTTTTGGGCATCTGGTTCCAGGAGAACCACAGGGACGAGACATCTCTTCTGCTTTCCTGGTGCAAATACATGAAGCAATATGTTGTTTGCTGTGTATGAGCATCTGGATACCTGGAACTGAGAGCTGTCTATGTACAAGAGACCCCTGGCCGCTTTTCCTCCACAGCACGTCATTCCCGTGTCCTCTCCTAACATGTCCTTGTTTTCCCACTAGTGAGCAACTGTGCTCTGCCTTTGGCTGCAGTCCCACATCCCTAGAACTGGCTCAGTTTCTGCTTTCTGTGGGCGATTTATGGAACATGCAAGGAAACAGAGGATGACTTGCTGGCAGGAGCGCTCCAGGTGCTGGAGCTGCCTGGCTCCGGCTGCAGGGCATTAGGACCCAGGGGTTGCCGAGTGGAGGAGGCTGAATTCCCTCCCGCTGTCATCCTCCTGCCTCTGCAGCTTTATCCCTACAGCCTTCAATGGTGACGGACTCCCTCCCACCCGGGCTGGCAGCCAGAGCCAGAAGGCCTCGCTAGGACCGGATCCCTGCAGCTCTATGGCATCTCCCAGGACTATCACCATCGTCGCCCTCTCGGTGGCCCTGGGGCTCTTCTTCGTCTTTATGGGGACCATCAAACTGACCCCTCGGCTCAGCAGAGATGCCTACAACGAGATGGTGAGTCGGGCGGCGGCAGCACGGAGTGGGGGGGGCATCAGGGCTCTCTCCCTTCCACCCTGCAGCGGGAGCAGTGGGGTACACACAGGGGGCCTGCCCTGGAGCCCCGGGCGATGGGAAGGCGAGGGGAGCAGCTTTTCTGTCTCCTCATTTGATAGACATGGAGAGAAGCCAATAATACGCAGTGCCCAAGATATCCTGGCGGCCCTGTCCCTGGAGAAACCTCTGTGGATAAGGATGGGGAGGGGAGGCAAGGAGGACGGGGAAGCACAGCACACTGATGCCTGCAAAAGGTGGGGGCACAAGGGTCCCTAAAAGCAAGGTCTGTAGAAGCGCCAGACATGCAGCAGGCAGGGACAGCTGATCCCTGGGAGAAAACCTACCCCCTGGGTGGGGGGTAGGAAAAGCAGATGCCTGCTTTGGCCGCCAGCTGTCCATTCTCACGACTCTGTGCTTTAAAGCAAGGACTTAAAGACACTGACTGTCTCTACCTCACAAGACTTGTGCTGGGATTAATTCATGATTGTGAAATGCTTCGAGATTCTTAGCTGGCAGAGGGAGATATTATTAATAGTCATCTCATTATTCTTTTTAGCCAGGGAAACGATCCTCTCCTCATCTTGCCTAACAGGAAAGGGGTGAGGAGAGGACGGAGAAGTCAGTGTGTGCGTTTCTCACCTGGTGAGCTGGTTGATGCTCCTCTCTGCTCAGGCCCAGCCCTGCTGCAGAGCTTTGCCAGCTGAGAGCTGCAGGCAGGTGTGGGACTGGCTGCCACATTTTACTTCCTCGTCTACGTTTACTTATTCTCCTGCCCCCCCTCCCTTTTCCCCACTATTTATTGCAGTAGTTGAAAAGCATTGGTATAATTTTTGTGTCCCTATAAAAATAGTGCTGGAAGTTTCCAGCACATTCTGTTCTCTCCCTTTGCTCCACCTGCCCAGCTGCTGCTTTTCCTTAGCTCTCAAATAACATCTGAATCGCAGTGTCTTGTCTGCAGCCCAGCACTGGGATCTCACAGATGAGAATCCCCAAGAAGTAACTCATGAGCAAGAGAGTGAGATAAAACACCCAGAAAACAAAGCCCTTAAGCTCTGAAACAGGAAAAAAAAAAAAAAAGGCACAGACTTTAGAAGCATTGCAAAATGCTTGCTCTGTAAAATATTCTGCTCCTCTGTCCCTTTCTGCTTTACCAAGAATCAGGCCTGCAGGTAGGAAAGATCCCTGGTTTTATAAGGAGAAAGCAGATATTCAACAGCACCATTATTCTTCATAGCCCATATTGTCCATATTGTCACATATTCATGGCTCATTAGGCTCTCCTGCCTTTGCTGTGCTGCATACCCTGGTGGTCTGTCGTGCCATGGAGACAGTGAAAACCTGACCTTGCTAATCCATAGGGATGGCTCTTTGCCCTCAGCAAATAGAGAACCTCTGTTACCTACCTACAGCACCAAACTTGCAGTTTTTCATTCAGCAAAGAACACAGTAGTTTGTCTATTAAAATACTCTGGGACATGCTTATGGTACATTTCTTTAAAAAGCTGTATTTTTTTACAACTGTTTAAAAATACTCTGCTCTAAGGTTTTAGTCATTGATGGTTTAAAATTCATCCTTCCAATGCATACTTAATCTTAGATTATTTTGTAGCAAAACTGACAACACTGTATATTTTTTAACCACACATGAAGTGTCAGATCCTCCCAGAAGGAAGCATCAAAATCTACAGAGAAGTGAGGAAGTTCTGTGTGCCCATAATGCAGTTTTCCAAAATCATAGGGAAGTAGATGCACAATTTATCAGTGCCTGTGAGAGCAGAGCAACCCTGCACCTGAGATTTGGTTTCCATTTCCCTCTCCCTGATTAGAAAGCAGATAACACAACACCAAGAATACCTGCAGGGATAGCATACCCAAGTGTAAGTGGAAATAATTTCAGTGATGACTCAGAGCTTTATTAAAATATATATAAAAAAAGGAAATACTTGATTGCAAAATAAACAAACAAAATAATAAAAAGCCCCTAAACAAAACAATAAGCCCACAAGCACCTAATGTTCAAATGTAAGAACCTGAACCTGTACAAGGACAGAGGTTGTCTTTTTCCAAAAAAAGTGAGGCAGCTGTGTAAGCAAGCTGAGTCTTGCAACTTACACTGCTTCTAAATCCAGCATAAAGCAGGGAGCAAACAATGTCAAATGTCAGCTTGCTTTCACCTGAGGAAAGAAAGGATCATAAAGCACAGGATAGGGCTGGTGAATCTCAGCTTTGATACGTCCCACATGAAGATTGCACTGCTCAGAAACACTGGGATATGGTAAATTGCTTTGAGGTAAAAAGAGACTTTTTTATGCACTTGGCGTGCCTCGGCTTTGCTGGGTGTGTTATTGAGTTTTATAGGACAAGCTACTCTTAGAGGTTCCTTTTTATAACAACATGGTTCTGCACTGCTAATTCTAGGAATCATAACTTCAGATTTCATCTGGGCTGGTCATAGTTCCAAAGAGGGGTGCTGTGTTACAGGACTGTTTTCCAGCAAGGAGACAACAGCTTATAAAGGGGGAATTGCAGGTTGATAGTTTAATATCCCCCCAACAGAAGCTTTACAGATTGGGTATTGCACCAGAGGGGTCTGTGATGTTTGAAGCCATCTTTGGGTCATATTGCACATCAGTCTCTTTCAATGGAAGTCACCTTGGCCTTCATTTTCTCACATGCTGGTGTCATACCCTATGACCGCTTGATTTCAGAAACGAGCCTACAAAAGCTACGTGCGGGCCCTGCCCATGCTGAAGAAGATGGGAGTCAGCTCCATCCTCCTCCGCAAGACCATCGGCGCCCTGGAAGTGGCGTGTGGCATTGTCATGACACTGGTGCCTGGTCGCCCCAAAGACGTGGCCAACTTTCTCCTGCTCCTCCTCGTGCTGGCTGTGCTCTTCTTCCACCAGCTCGTGGGGGACCCCCTCAAGCGCTACGCCCACGCCCTGGTGTTTGGGATCCTGCTCACCTGCCGCCTGCTCATCGCCCGCCAGCCCGAGGAGCTGCCGCCCGAGAAGAGGATGCTGTCGGTGAACGGGGATGAGCAGCCACTCATCCACGAAGCAGCTCCCGAGAAAGGCAAGATGAAGGTATCCTAGTTGAGTGCATGTGAGAAACACGGACCCTCGAGGCAGCTCTCTCCAAAATCACCCGGAAAAATTTGGTTTTTATTTTAAACCTATTTGCGTTTGGTTTTTTTTTTGTTGTTTTTTTTTTTTTTTGTCTAAATAAAGTTGCACTTGGGGTCTGAGAGATACAAGGTATGTCTACACCGTAGTCTTGCTTTTGCTGCTGCCCTGTAATGTAGAAAAACACAAGCCAGCTTTCCCGGGGACAGCTTGGAGGCAGTCAGCAACCTGGCTGGAGCAGTGCCGGCCGCAGCAGGAGCTGCAAAACCAGCCTGAGACCCTGGGCAGAGATTTGGGCGGGCAGTCAGGCTGCCCTGGCACTGCTGCAGTGGGGAGATTAGTCCCTGAGACCAGCCCCGAGCCCCAGACCTGGCCTGGATGCTGCTGCCTGGCAGTCTGGAACAGCAGCTGGGCAGGACATCACCAGTGTCCCTGTGCTGGCCTGTGCAGCCCCACCCACACACCTGCATTTCCTTTTCCATAGTCAAGGGGTAAAAGGGACCCTACTGTCCATACAAGTGCAGTTGGTTGCCTTGGAGAGAGGGATCCCTTCACTTTTGCTGCCTCTGTGCCCAGTCCTTTCTTTGGACTGGTTATCCAGGGAAAACATGAGATGCTCTGTTTGCATCTTCCTTGATTTCCATGTAGAGGCTCTAAAACTGGGACAGTGGCCTGATAACAGTAATATTTTGCCTGCTTCACACGAGGCAACGGCATCTCTTTATCCTTCTTGGCGGAGAGTAATGATCCCTGGAGAGGGGATGGGGAGCAGAACTGCCCAAAGAACTCCAAAATATCTGTCCGATGTCGGCAAATAGCATCGTGCTCCCCATTTCCTTGCAAGAAAAAACCTTTTTTCCACAGCTACTGTGACTTTATAGAATTGTTGTTTACTGCTGGTAGATGAGGGTCTGAACAATTCCAGGTACCTCATTGCTCATCCCACATACAGCCTCGGTGAGCTGGGAGAACTGTTACCAGAGCCTGAATCCCTGTGTTGTATCTGAAATCTTAGAGTGTCATAAGGAGCATGTGTTACCTCTGAATTTGTCTGGTTTTCTTAATGTTTGTCTGTTTTCAGTTTTTCCTTATTTTTTTTTTAATTATTCATGAAAATAAACTTTTTGAAATTTGGAGAAAAATGTCTTTACAGAAACAAATTTCTTATTTTGAGAGACAAGTCTGAAAACACCTCCCTGTGGTCAAACACTGCACCTAAAATGGGCAGAATCATTTCAGGCAATTTGAGAGAGAGACAAGGCGATACCTTGTTGAAGGCAGCTGAACACTATTTGGCTACACATTAATAATAACAGATACTTAAAGGAGACATTTGGATATTTTAATGAAACAGTCTCAGATAAATTTTGCTACAGTGTAATGTGGCCCTGAGAAAAGGTAACTCCAGTAAACTGTTAGCGTTGTATCTGTATAAAAATTGATGAGGGATGTTCACATGCAGTTCTCTTCTTGAGTTTGCTGCTGAAGCAGATGCAGCCCCATATATATACATATATATATATATGCTGAAAAAGCCTTCTCTCAGAGCCCTGGAGGGACTAAATTTCTCTTATCAGATGTGCACCCTGAGCAAAGGAACCAAGAGGCCACCTCTGCTAGACAATCTCATCCTCACAGACTACCTCAAGGTCATCCCAAATAGATACAGAATTTGCTTTACTCCCCTAAAGACACTTTATCTGCCATGCCCTGACTGGGGTTGTTAATCACATTTTAGCTCAAAACCAACTCAAAACCACCCCATGATGTGTATTTCCTACACAAAGTCCTCACAATTGAGCTGCTGCAGCTCTTTCTCCAGTCACCTCTCACTGAACATCCAGCTCAGCAAACCTTTGGGAACAAGTATTGTGTTTATATTTTGTGACATTCCTCACCGAAGCCTGTGTATTATTATTGGTCGCCCCAATAATACATCATCCCACGGAGCAAAGCCTACTAAAATACGTCCACTTTTTACACATTTGCAGCGAAATGAGTGACTGACTCGCAGCAGTGGCTGCGTGGTCTTTGTTACAGAGGGAGCCGGGACTCTCCCTGCAGCCCGGCAGCAGGAATTCTGGATTTCTCTGTGGCGGCCTGACCTCCATCACTGCCCCCCAGCAGGAACAAGCTATTTTTGGATGCTGCCAGCCATCTGTGCTCGATAAGAACTGCTCCACTCCTTTTGTAAGACCTCGATGCTAATTTACTCTTTTCTTTTTTTTTTCCTCTTTTTTTTTTTTTCCATGTTTTTATCTCCGAGTCCATAATTTCATTTCCCGGCCAGCCTCATCCAGGCGTCACTGCTTAGAGCCTCGGGGTTACTGGATCACCTCCGCGCTCGCTTTATATGTGCCTTTCCCCCCCCCCCAATTCTTTTTTAAGATGCGGGTTTAGGGCTAAACTTTGCACCCCCACGGAGGAGGGGACACCCCAGGACGGGCCGCACTTCCCCTCATGGGGATTTCCCGCCCTTCAGAGCCCCCTCCCGCCGGGCGCGGACCGCGCATGCTCAGAACCGCCGGGG